CCATTAAGACGATACTAAATGTCTTTTTATAATTGTAGTAGAGAGAACCACTACGCTTAGGGCAAACTATTCTTATGTGTTTACCGTCTATTGCGCCAAGGCAATGCGGCATTCCTGTCTTCACATAAAACCTTTCCATATATGTACATGAAAACATTATTTATTGAGCCCACAAGCTAAAAATTTGTTGGCAAACCTGTCGGCAATGTCCTTCCACTCTCTTTCATTTGGTGGGGAAACATATACTGAATGTAATTCGCTCCAAATCGCATCACATGTTTCGTAAATTATGTTTCTTATTGTAGAAACGCCAATTTTGTGGGTCCAAGCCAAAAACTGTGGACTGCAGCCTTGTGATAAGTATCTGAGGGAATATTTTTGGTTACTTAAATGTGTTTACATCTATATGAACTTAATTACGTCAAAGTAATTCCCAAGCGGATCTCTTCGTTTATTGGCTCTCTCCTGGAAAACCGTTGAAGCTTTTCTCTAAGCAGAGTTAAAAGGACATTGAACTTGGTGACACTCATTCGTGTTGCTTTAAAGAAATCCTCCTTATCGTTCAGTTTTAATTGGGCAAAACAGGTTTCATGGAAACCAAGACGTTGTCTAGTAAGATTTACTGGACGTACCCACCATCTCCTCTTTAATCGTTGGCGCACAAGCAAATACATCTTCACCATCACGCACATAATATTTATAATTTTGATAATGCGTATTAACCGCGAGATTTCATTCATATTGAAATTAATGTACAGATATTTCAATCACTCTGCAGAAAAAATTTTCAGTGTCAAATAATTGCATCAGCTGTGTTCGCCGCCGCTCTAATTGTGTTAAAGTAGGCGAATTAGCAGGGCGACCGGTGAACGACGGCATCGCCCAATTCGGCGAAGTTCGCCGTTCGCCGGCATTGTATTTCAGCTATCACTTGGACTGTGTCAACGTGTCAGTGATGGATCTCGATTTTCTGCTTGCATCCAATAAACATTTTTATTGTAACTTTTGCTGGGATGAGAGTCGTGCTTCTACAATTACACCGCCCCCAACCACTCAACCTACGTCAAACTTTGAAAAAGGGAGTGCAAGTGAGAAAACAGGTGACAAACAAGTAACTTTGCTTTGTATAGCTAGTGACATTGCTACTCTTCGTTCAGAAAATGTTCAAATTCTCACGATAATAAATGCTCTTAAAAGTGATAATACTTTGCTTATGCAAAAATGTGATCTCTTATCTGCCGAGATTAGCTCTCTCCGTATGCTAATTGATGGTAAACATAATGCTAATGGTCTAAGCGGAAACAATAACAAACATAACAAACATATGACTAACGAAACTGGAAACTCAGTGAATAACAAAAATCCTGTTTCTGCTACAACAACAAAAAAACCTGCTAATAAATCTAAAAAGACAAACAAAGGCAGTAAATCTAGTGCTGCTACGAAATCAAACAAATTTGACTCATCACAGAATACGAACTCCGAAGAGTTATCAAAAACAAATAACAACAATAACAATTTGGCAGACACCAACGACTTGCCACTACCTGCACCACCGAATGATTCGCCCGGTAACGCTACCAACATAAACGATGCAAACAAGCCCGCGCAGAATACGACTACCGAAGTGTTATCAGCACAGAATATGAACACCGATGAGTTATCAAAAACAAACAACAATAATAATCTGGCAGACACTAATGACTTGCTACTACCTGCACCACCGAATGATTCGCCCGGTATCGCTTCCAACATAAACGATGCAAACAAGCCCGCGCAGAATACGAATACCGAAGTGTCATCAGCACAGAATGCGAATACCGAAGAGTTACCAAAAACAAACAACAACGATAATAATAACATAAACGGTGCAAACACCCCACGGATGCTAATGTCGCTGCTTATGCTAATCGGGTTTCTGCCCCAGTGAATGCTTCTAAAGTTACAAAATCAACTGTATACAAAACCAGGAATCCGTCCACTATTGTTGTTGGAAGTAACTTTAATGTAAATCTTGACTTAGCCGTTCGTCTGAAATGGTTACATCTGTCGTCCTTTAAGCCGTCTGTTAATGCTAGCGATATTATCGACTTTGTGTCGAGAACAACAAACATTTCTCCATCTTTTTTTCACTGCCATAAACTTATTAAGAAGGGCATAGATCCATCATCGTTAGTAAGATGCAATTTTAAACTTGGGATCTCGCCTACTATTTATAGCAAGTTGCTTGACCCATCTATATGGCCATCGGATGTCAAAGTTAAACCCTTCCGTTTTTTTCACAAGGGAAAGGGGGCAAAGGGCAATCAGTAGCTAAACAGGCTAACCTTTCTTCTAATAGCACTCTAAACATTTACTTTCAAAATGTTTCTGGTATGAGAACTAAAGCTAAAGATATATTCCTAGCCTCATCACGTTATGAATACGATGTGTATGTCATTGTCGAAACCTGGCTTAACGACGATTTTTTTGATGCCGAGTTTTTTAGCCCAATCTTATACCATACGTATCGAAAAGATAGAGATCCCATCAAAACTGGATGTTTAAGAGGTGGTGGCGTCTTAATTGCTGTAAGGCGTTCACTCCTCTCTTCTTTTGTCCAGCTCTCTAACAGTGACTCTCTTCTAGACCAACTTTGTGTTTCTATATGCGGCCCATCTGGTAATCTGTTTATCTGTGCGTCGTATATTCCGCCTGACAGTATCGACTCGTTGTACTGCGCCCACGTATATAACATTCTCGACACTTACGAAAATAATGTAAATAGCCATTTCTGCATTTTGGGTGACTTTAATCTAAATAAGGTTGGTTGGTCAAAATTGCACAATGATGTAATTTTAACTCCAACAAATGTTAATTATGCGCATGAAATAAATTTTTTAGATACCCTTTTTAGTTGTAACCTTATTCAGATTAACTCTTATGCGAATATGCTAAACAATATATTAGATCTCATATTTGTTGATGATAATTTAATTTCTAATTTGACGGAGTGTCAATTTCCCATTTCTAAGTCGGTTATGCACCATGTGCCGCTATCTTTGACCTTAGAATTTGTAGACTTTGTCCCTATAGACCGAACTCCTCAAAACATTCAATCGTTTAATCTCAAAAATGCAAATTTTGAGTTACTCAACTCGAGCATTTCGCAAGTTGATTGGGAGTCTAGTTTCTCTGGTAAAACCGCTGCCGAATGTTTCGACATCTTTCTGCTTGAACTGTCTGATGTATTTAGTAGAAATCTGTCTCTGCTTCCGGTTAAAAAACATAGATTACCTTGGTACAATTCTAGGTTAAAAAAGTTGAAAAACCAAAGGAACAAATTTTTTAAGAAGTACAAAGCAACTAACGATATATTATTTAGAGAAAGATATCTATTTTATATGAGAGAGTTCAATGTACTCGATAAATTTTTATACAACAAATACATTCCGCACTGCGAGAATGAATTGAAAGAAAATCCGAAATCTTTTTGGAACTATGTACGTTCAAAAAAGGGTTCTGGTAATATTCCCACCTGTGTTAAATATAATGGAGTTTCCTCAAATAACTTAGTTGATTCCGTAAATCTTTTTGCTTACTTTTTCAAATCTAACTTTGTTGTTGACTCTGATTCTACGGCTAACAGCCTTTTTATCGGTACACCCAAATCCCTGGACTTTGGGTCAATGTCTATATCCGAAACAGATATTATTAATGGAATATCGTCCTTACAATCTTCATCGAAAAAGGATATTGATGGTTTGTGTTCATTTTTATTCAAAAAATGTAGCTATTCCCTTAGTGTTCCGTTATGCCATATCTTCAATGTTTCGCTATCCACCGGAACTTTCATTGATCGGTGGAAATTGGCGTCGATCACTCCAATATTCAAGTCAGGCCATAGAAATGAGGTAAAAAATTACAGGCCAATCTCTAAATTGTCTACTTGCTCCAAACTTTTTGAGAAAGTAGTCAAGGAAAAGTTTGCATTTGCGATCAAAAGTTTAATCGATCCATGCCAGCATGGTTTTGTTGCAGGGCGATCGACTACAACTAATCTTGCTGTATTCTCTCATTTCTGTGTTTCTGCTTTTAAAGACGGATGTCAAGTTGATACAATTTACACCGATTTCTCTAAAGCGTTTGACACAGTATCCCACAAAATACTGTTGTCAAAACTGGAAAACTTAGGTTTCCACTCCGTTTTTTTGTTGTGGCTTAAGTCATATCTCACTGATAGAATCTCTTTCGTCCAAATTGAGTCTGTGAAGTCTTACAACTTTCTTGCAACCTCAGGTGTGCCACAAGGTAGTATCCTTGGTCCCATCTTATTTATAATTTTCATCAATGATGTTGGCTTGCACCTAAAGCACGCAAATTATCTATTGTATGCAGATGATTTAAAACTGTTCAGCAGGATCTCTTCTGAATCGGACGCCCTGCTTTTGCAGGAAGATCTGAATGCTCTTAACGCTTGGGCTATTCAAAATAAATTGTGCCTCAATGGTAGTAAGTGCTGCCACATAACGTTCTCCAAGTCTATGAATGCGCGTGCGTCTACATATTTGGTTTCTAATGTAGCTCTTGCATCGGTTCGGGAATTTCGTGATTTGGGAGTAATTTTTGACTCTTCCTTCACTTTTGTTAACCATGTCAACCATATTATACCGAAAGCATATTCTAACTTGGCCTTTCTTCGACGCTATGCGAAGGATTTCAAAGACCCCTATACTAGGAAAATTTTGTTTAATTCTTTAGTGCGATCAAAATTAGAGTATGGCTCGGTTATATGGAATCCCATGTATAAAACACACTCTGTTAGAATTGAAAGAGTTCAACGCAAATTCACACGATTTGCTGTTCAACCTCTCAATTTTATTAGTCCTCTGCCACCCTATCCTGCCAGGTGTATGTTAATTAATGTTCAGCCGCTCGATATTAGGCGAGCTGTTCAAAATCTAATGTTTATCTTTGACATAATTTCCGGTGCCATTGATTGTTCAGCTCTTCTTGGACAGATATGTTTTAATATCCCTAATAGAGCTCTACGCTCTACTAATATTTTTTATATTGGTATTCTGAGATCGAATTATCTCAAATTTGCCCCACTTATAAGAGGGCTCAACGAGTTAAATCGAATCTGCAGAATTATTGATCTCGATTTCGCAATGTCAAGGTCCCATTTCAAGGCAGATATTGAATCTTACTACCGAGATAATCCGCCATTGATTTAATATTTTATTAGTTTTAAGTTTAAGTTTAAGGAATCTGTAAATCTAGTCAGTAAGGCTTTTTGCCATTGACTTAATAAATGAATTGAATTGAATTGAATTGAAATTAAACACTGTCTGTTTACTTTTACATATCAAATTTGTCACGTACTGAACACAAAGGGTGGGTTTTGGGGTTAAGTTTATTATGATTTAAGAAATTTTGATAAAAAAAAATTTGTTTTCCATTTCTTGTTCGTCATTTTGTAAGAATTTTTCTTTTTTCTTGAGAACTCTTTAAAGTTCAACTGCGAATGAAAACATTGTCTTAAAAATATGCAGTGCATGCTCACTAACTGTTGCTTTTTACACTTTACAGCCTAAACAAGTTTACCACTGATATGTACTTAATAAGCATTCGAAGATTTAATGTATTTATATTAAAATTCTTTTGTAAAATTTTTTATTACTTTTGAAAATTGAGTGCATCTTTAACCGTTAATGTTTTCTTGATTTAATGAACGGATCTAAACCAAATTACGGGACGACCTTTAAGGTACTATCTTTCCGGTAAAAAAAACGGTTCACGCAATGCAAAGTTATGCGGTGGAATAAATAAAAGAAGTAAAAATACTCCGAAGAATTTATAATCTCCCCTTTTTTAAGGCCGGCTGAAAATGTCTGAGTTCTTTGTAAATTTTATGTAAATAAAATGCTATTTATGAA